GACAGGAGGTCTTACGGAGCGTCGTGAGCCGGAGTCTCGTCCTGTGTCGCCCGAGTCTCGTTCTGCGTCACCTGTTCCTGCTGCTCGCACTGGTCGTATTGTCACGCGTCAGCGTCCTCCTGCTGTCCCAGGCACTCACCAGATGACGCTTCGTCTTTCCACTGCTCCACAGTGAGTCCCTCCGCCTTCTCCTCCTGCGTCCTCTCTTCCTGCCCTTACTGATACGAAGTCTGACTCTCTTCGTGCTGCTAGTCCTACTGTCACGCATCTCCTGGCCACGGCTGTCACTGACCCTTCCTTTGAGTCTGCTGTTGCGTCTGCCCTAGTTGCTGAGCTTGTCGACTTTGGTGCTCGCTGTCGTCTAGACTACGCCGCGAGTCTTGTTGCTGAGTCTGAGTCTGTCTGTCCTACGTCCGTCAAGGGTGAGTGTGCTCTAGGCACAGACGTCCTTGAGGACAGACAGGAGGACCTTCAGTGTCTTGAAGCCGCTGCGCCTCATCTCGTGTCCATGCTGCTTGCCCCTGAGGGAGACCCGGATGCTCCAAACATCCCGACCCCACGCTCTTACGCTGAGGCGATCGCGGGTGAGTACTCCTCTCAGTGGCAGTCAGCCATGGACGCAGAGATGGCATCTTGGAAGTCCACAGGCACCTACGTCGACGAGGTTCCCCCTCCTGGGGCGAACATCGTCAGTGGCATGTGGATTTTCAGGGTGAAGCGGCCACCAGGCGCACTACAGGGACTGGGGCTGGTACTTCTCCTCCTAGTCGGGAGCTCCCCTCTCGTGAGCGGATCCGTGAGTGGTACAAGCCCCGTTGCACACTTCGGAGTGGTGCGCCTCGTCTCACAGACCCGGCTGCCCCTGGTGCTACGGACCCGGGCGTTGGAGGTGCTGCTGGTGCTGAGGACCCGGGCGTTGGAGGTGCTGCTGGTGCTACGGACCCGGGCGTTGGAGCTGATGCTGGTGCTGCGGACCCTGGCGTTGGAGCTGCTGCTGGTGCTGCGGACCCGAGGGTTGGAGGTGCTGCTGGTGCTGAGGACCCGGGCGTTGGGGCTGCGGCTGGTGCTGCGGACCCTGGCGTTGGAGCTGCGACTGGTGCTGTGGACCCTGGTGTCAGAGTCCCTGCTGGTGCTGAGGACCCGGGCGTTGGAGCTGCGGCAGGTGCTGTGGACCCTGGTGTTGGAGCCACTGCTGGTGCTGAGGACTCGGGCGTTGGTGCTGAGGCTAGTACTGAGGACCTGGGCGTTGGAGCTGCTGCTGGTTCTGGTACTGCCGCTGGGGGTACAGGTGCTGTCCCTGCTGTGTCTGGAGTCGCCGCGCGCCCTCAGCCGTACTTCGTTCCGCTCCTTCAGCAGGTTCTTGGTCTCTCGCCTCCTCCTGGTCCTCCTCCCTTAGCGTGTTCACAGCCTGTCCCGTCACAGTTACAGTTGCAGCCGGCCTCCCCACTACCTGCTCCTTCTCCTTACACTGGTCCTACTGGCGGTCTTACTGAGCGACGTGAGTCTGCGTCTCGTCCTGCGTCGCCTGTCCGTCCTGCTAGCGCTAGTGCTCGTAGTTCGCACCAGCGTCCTCCTCCTGTCCCTGGCACGCACCGGATGTCTCTACGTCCGTCCACTGCTCCTCTGCGTGCCCCTTTGCCTTCTCCTCCTGAGTCCTCTCTTCCTGCCCTTGCCGACCCGGAGTCGGACTCTCTTCGTGCTGCCAGTCCTACTGTCACGCGTCTCCTTGCTACTGTCGTCACTGACCCTTCTTTTGAGTCTGCTGCTGCGTCTGCTCTCCTTACTGAGCTCGTCGACTTTGCTGCTCGCTGTCGCCTAGACTACGCTGCTAGTCTTGTCGCTGAGTCTGAGTCTGTCTGTCCTCCGTCCGTCGGGGGTGAGTGTGCCCTTGGCACGGACGTCCTTGAGGACAGGCAGGAGGAGTTCCAGTGTCAGGCAGCTGCTTCACCTCATCTCGTGTCCGTACTGCTTACCCCTGAGGGAGACCCGGATGCACTTGACATCCCGACTCCGCGCTCTTACGCGGAGGCGATAGAGGGTCCCTACTCCTCTCAGTGGCAGGCAGCTATGGACGCAGAGATGGCTTCCTGGAAGTCCACAGGCACCTACGTTGACGCTGTCCCCCCTCCTGGGGCAAACATCGTCAGTGGCATGTGGATCTTCAGGGTGAAGCGGCCGCCGGGTTCTCCGCCTGTCTTCAAGGCGCGTTACGTGGCTCGTGGCTTCAGTCAGCGACAGGGAGTTGACTACTTTCGGACCTTCTCCCCCACCCCGAAGATGACCACTCTTCGGGTACTGCTGCACGTTGCTGCTCACCGGGACTACGAGCTGCACTCTCTCGACTTCAGCACAGCTTTCCTGCAGGGCAGCTTGCACGAGGAGATCTGGCTGCGCCGCCCACCTAGCTTCACTGGGTCTTTCTCTCCTGGTACCCAGTGGAGTCTCCGGCGTCCAGTCTACGGTCTCCGCCAGGCGCCACGTGAGTGGCACGACACACTGAGGACTACGCTTGCGGCTCTTGGGTTCGCTCCGTCTACTGCCGACCCGTCGCTGTTTCTGCGCACCGACACTTCTTTGCCGCCGTTCTACATCCTCGTGTACGTCGACGACTCGGTCTTTGCCACAGCTGACACTATTGGACTCGCCTACGTGAAGTCCGAGCTGCAGAAGAGACACACGTGCACTGACTTGGGTGAACTGCGCAACTACCTTGGCTTGCAAATCACCCGGGACAGAGCACGCCGCACCATTACCCTAACTCAGTCACACATGGTGCAGCAGGTCCTTCAGCGCTTCGGCTTCACGTACTCCTCGCCTCAGGCCACTCCTCTGTCTACTCGCCACTCGCTCTCAGCTCTGCCTTCGGATGAGTCCGTAGAGTCGAGTGGCCCGTACCCAGAGCTTGTTGGCTGCCTCATGTACCTGATGACCTGCACACGACCTGACCTTGCATACCCTCTTAGCATTCTTGCACGCTATGTTGCTCCTGGGAGACACTGACCAGAGCACATGGCTGCAGCGAAGAGGGTGTTGCGCTACTTGTGCAGTACGTCGGGCATGGGGCTAGTGCTTGGAGGGCGGAGTCCAGTGGTCCTCACTGGATACGCAGACGCTTCTTGGGCTGACGACCAGGCTACGCAGCGGTCGTCACAGGGTTACACCTTCAGCCTTGGTTCCGGCTCTGTTTCGTGGCGGGCTACTCGCTCGTCTTCTGTTCTTGGCTCCAGTTGTGAGGCTGAGATCTACGCAGGGGCCATGGCTGCAAAGGAGCTTCGCTGGCTCACCTACCTGCTGACCGACCTTGGAGAGCCGCCTCGTTCTCCTCCAGTCCTGTACGTCGACAACAAGGCCATGCTGGCCTTGTGTCGGGAGCAGAGACTGGAGCACAGAACAAAGCACATTGCTCTCCGCTACTTCCTTGCTCGTGAGCTACACCAGCGTGGTCAGTTGCGACTTGCGTACGTGGCCTCTGAGGCCAACACTGCTGATGTCTTCACCAAGGCCCTTCCGCCTTGTGATCATCAGCGCTGCTGTACCCAGCTGGGTCTTGTGTCTGTCTTGCCTCACTTGCTCTCCTCTTGACCCTCTTTGTACTGTTACATATATATATATCACTGCTCTTGCTTGTTTAGTCTTATATATATATCTGTACTCCTGCATGTGAACTGGCCTTGTGGCCTTGCACTTGTGCTTGGATTGTGTGGTGACGTTGTGATCCACCCTGAGCTTGCTTTGTTTTGCTTTACTTGACTGGTCTTGTGACCCCTAGTTCTCCCCCACTTCGCCTATAGGGGTGTGTCAAACATTATATATGTTGTTGTAGTTGTTTAGGCTACTGTGGGTTAGCCTATAGGGGGTACACATTCCTAGGTTTTCATACTTGTACTCATTTCACTCTTAGTTCATTCATTCTTGTTCAACAATTTTCTATCCCAGCGCTTAGGAAACATGGCAAATCGTGGGGCAGCCAATGTCGCGAATCGCAACCATTTTGGGGCGCCAATTTCCTAGCATTTGTTCACACCCTGCAGTTTTATAGCATCCCGTTCGCGCTTCGCCAACACCTCACCTTCCAAGATTCTCGCTGCGCTGCGGGCCGCTTGAACGGGTTGGGTATACCACGTGCAAGAGAAGTTATATTTGACCGATAGAGTATACCGCGTGAGCGGATACGGTAAGTGCTGCATTGCGCGGGGTTTGGTTTGGAATACTGCGCGGGTGTGATGTTACTGTACCGTTTAGTAAGGGGGTGGCGCTGCGGGTGTGATAGAGTGCAGAGCACATTGCGCCTTTCCGCATTGCCCCGTCGGTTCCGCATTGCCCCATCGATACCCCGCCAATCCGCGGGAATTAAGAAACGCTAGTGTGATACTACTGTACCTGTTAGTAGGGGATGCCATTGCGGGAGCGAAGTATAGAGTATACTGCTGCGTTCGTTCCGCAATGCCCCGCCGGTGCCCCGCCAATCCTCGGGAATAAGTGCCAGGAGTAAAGAAACGCCGGTGTGATATAGCTGTACCTGCAGTAAAGGGGCGCCGTTGCGGGCGTGCTTGCGCCGGTTCCGCATTACCCGTCAGTACCACACCAATCCGCGGGAATATATGAGCGCTGGTGTGATAGTACTGTACCTGTTAGTAAGGGGATGCCGTCGCGGGAGCGATAAAGTATAGAGTACACTGCGCGGTTCCGCATTGCCTCGTCAGCACCGCGCCAAGCCGCGGGGATAAATAACCGCCGGTGTGATAATACTGTCCCTGTAGTAAGAGGGCGCCGTTGCGAGAGTGATAGAGCATAGGGTACGCTGCGCCGTTCCGCAAGTTACTGTGCCTGTAGTAAGAGGGCGACGTGCGGGTGCGACAGTACTACTGTAGTATAGAGCACACTGCGCGGGTCCGCATTGCCCCGTCGGTACCGCGCCAAGCCGCGGGAGTAAAATTAACGTCTAGAAGCGTGTTGGAGAGAGGCTGGGAATGGATTTGCTGGTAACGGTACAAGATTCCATGCGCCTTGTAACGCGTATCGGCGGGTCACTCGAAGGCGCGAATTTGCCGGACGGCCCGCCGCCTTTCCGGTTCTACTCCCTGTGGCTTCCGCCTCGTCTCGCGCAGCGGAATGGCACGGAGGGTCCGCCTGTTCCCGCGCAGCTGCAGCATGACGCGGCGGTTCCGCCGGTTCCACCCGTTCCGCCCGTTCCCGCAAAGGGAAATGACGCGGATCTTTTGCTTGAAGCCCCGCAAGCGGAACAGGTTTCGCGGGTCGGGGGAGAAGCGGTTAAGGATGAGCAGGGGGAAGGGGGGAAGAAGCGGGATGTGGTGGAAGCAGGGGGATGCTGCGGGGAGGGCGGTGGGGAGGGCGGTGGGAAGCGCGCCGGGGAGGGGCTATGGGGCGGTGAGTCAGAGGGAGCGGTGATGGGGGGGGTCGGTGGTGGGATGGGGGGTTGTCGTGTGGGGGTTTGCGGGTTACAGGGAGGACGGGAATGGGCAAGAGAGTTACATGCAAGGGGGAAAGAGGTGGGGGAAGGCCACGATGTGGGGATGGGGATAGAGATTGGGGAAGGGGGATATGTGGGGCTGGGGAACGAGGTGCGGGAGGGGGAAGAGGTGCGGAAGGGGGAAGAGGTGCGGGAGGGGGAAGAGGTGCGGGAGGGGGAAGAGGTAAATGAAGATGGGGATGGGGAGGAGTATGAAGTGGTGTCTGTGGAGGAGTGTGTAGGGGAGTGTGGGGTGGAGCGTGTGGGGGGGTGTGAGAGGGAGAGTGAGAGGGAGTGTGGGAGAGAGTGTGAGGAAGGAGAGGAGGATGATGATGTGGTGGAAGTTCCAATAGGGGACAACAGGTGGCGGGATATTAACGAGTTTTCTGGTGGGAGTGGCAAGGAGAAGGAATGCTTAACGAGGAAGGGAAGGAAGGAGGGAAGAGGGAGAAAGGAAGGGAAAAGAACGGTGGAGAAGGAGAAGAGGAAGGGGAAGACGAAGCAGAGAGAGAGAGAAGAGGAGAGGGAGAGGGAGGAGGGGAGTGAGAGGGAGGAGGAGATAGGGGAGGGGGCTTGTGAGAAGCGCTATGTGTGCAAAGAATGTGGGAAGAGTTGCTCTGGAGCTTTGTCGAATGATTTATAAACGTATTGTTTCGAACGCTTTTTTGAGAAAGTATAGTACGCTTTCCAAATGCTTTGTCGAATGCTTTTCAAATGCTTCTGCAATGCTTCTCAGTTCAAAGCTGCATCTTGAATACCTTCGACTTAAGTTTAATACGAGTTTTCCCAAAGTGATTTTGGAGATTATATCTCATTGCAATATACTCTTTAGTGAGTTTGTATGTTGAATTCATACTGTTTATAATTGGACATTCCACAAACGTTATTAATTTTAACATTTCATGATTCTTGTGTGATTGGGTTCAGATTTTGCATTAGTAGAAACGCCAGCATTATGTAAAATATATCCATAACACAATGGCAGATAAAAAGAATTAGAACTACTCTCGCCTATTGCCGGGGGTGATCTACGCCTTAAACATGATTTGGGCATGGTCTTAGCCGAAGACAGCACCTACTGCAAATCACCAAGCAACCCTTGCAGTTCACCATAAGAGTTAGCCATGAAATTTAAACCAGTGACATGTAAATTGAATGTTTACCAGAAAAAGGAGTGGTTGAAACCGGAGATTATTAGGAAATATAAAACCGCCTGCCAGCGAAATAAACGAACAAAAACGAAAGCGTTTCATTAGCTAGCAGTTTGGATAAGCGCAAGAGTAGGAACTAGCGCTTTCTTGAAGGAAACCGTGCGACCTGCACACGGGGATAACAAAGAATTAAAACGCGGAGAGAGATATGCACCGCGGAGCACAAGGCCTCACTGAGTAAACGGACTGCATGATAGTAGAAACACAGCCAACGACATTCGTTAGATAACAATTCCCGCTAATACAGAGAAGGATCTAACGTGGCCTTAATCAGAAAACAGCGCGACCTGGGCTTCGACCTGCATATGTTGATCAAGAGGAATTTAAACGAGGAAAGCACACTTACCACAGAGCACACACCTACACAAAGTAAACGGAGTGCACGAAGGGAGAGACACACAACCAATTAGGCGCACTCGTGGCAATTGCAGAAAATAACGAGCTACTGGGACGGTTGAGACTATGGCGACAGTTGAAACTACGGCGACGGTTGAGACAATGGCAACGGTTGAGACTATGGCAGCGGTTGAGATAACGAGATTGGAAAATGTGCTAAGGAAGAACTAAACTAAAATCAGTCACAGCCACTCTAGAATAACAAAAGGAGACCCCACTTCACCTTTTTTGTGCAAGCGTAACGGGTAGAGTGCAGGGAGGTGGTGTGGATGGGGTTGGTTAGTTGGCACAAGTGGTGGTGGTTGGGCTGGATTTTGTTGAGGTGGATGCAATGCCGGCTTTGATTGGTTGAACAAAGTGGTATGCTGAGCTGGATTGAATGAGGCGAATTTGGTTGGTTGGAGAGATTTCTGGCTTGGTTAGGGTTGGTTGGGAAAGTGTAATTGGGGGTTGGCAAATGCGCGTTAAGTTTGTACTGTAAAATAAAAATATCGGTTCAAAGCAGTCGTTGTAGTGTAGTGAGTTATAATATTCAGCTCTCATGTGAATGATCTCGGGTTCAATCTCGAAGTGGATTGTTTCTGGAATTGAATTTGTTCTTTTTAGCTTGTTCTTGGTAGCATAATTCATTTTTTTTTGCAGTGCATGTTGTCCCGTGCTGCAGAGACTCTGATGTGAACATGCTCAATAGGTTCATCTGGTGATGCATATTAAATTGCATCTACGTCGATAAACCATAACCGAGTTGGATTATAAAACACACCTTTTTCAACCTTATTATTGTTTCAACAATTAACATCTGACAAACATTCCATTGAAAGCATTGCAAAACCATTACTAAAACATCAGCAAAGCATTTGGCCCAAAAAAAATGATATACAAATGATATATAGATGATTCCAGGATGATTGTCAAACGATTTTTGAAAACTTGCTTAAAAAAAAATGGTCAAATGATTTCCATACTCACACATTTTTGTGATGCGTTTGGTCGGTGGGTGACTTTAGGCAAGCACCTGGGCACCTATTCGAAGCACCGTTCAAAGCAGGTGCGTTTTCCTCACTCACTCGCCCACTCGTGAGCTCATTCACTCACGCAGTCACCCACCTCTCCCCCCTCCCCCCCTTTCCCCTTCACTCACGCACTCACGCTCTCCTTCCCTCTCACACATTAGTGCCGGCTCTAGTGGCTTTCAAGTCAACTAGAAAACTACCCCTCGGCCTTCCACTCTTCCCGTCTGCCCCTGCTGTGTTTCCCCGTCTTTCCCCCTCGTCCCCTCTCTCCTGTCCCCCACTCCCCGTTCCGCTGCAAAGGACGGTTCTGTGTTGGCATGTGAACAGCCAGGCGGCATTCATTCAGTTTCCCCTCTTGCCGCCTGCACCTCTTATTGCCTGCCCCTCTTACCGCCGGCCCCGTTGCCCGTTCTGCAGCGAAGGCCGCGTGTGGGTTGCCTCAAGGCCTTCAAGTCACTTTACCCACTAACGGCCTGCCCCTCTGCCCACAATTGGCCCCCTGGTCCCCCCTTCTGCAGCAGAGTTCGTTCGTGTGCCCGCGGGGGGGTTGCCACAACGCCTTTAACTCACTTTCCCCTCTAACCGCCTGCCCCTCTTCCCACGATTGCCCTCTCATGCCCCCTTTTTGCAGCAGAGGTCGTTTGTGTGCCCGCGGGTGGGTTGCAACAGGGCCTTTGCCAATAATTGCCGGCTAACGAGGCACCTTCTTGTGCACAAACCCAATGCTTCTCGGGTGAGCTTTCCTTGTCCTCACCCCCTTTCATTCTCCCCCATTTGCCCAAGTTTTTGGTGACCGATTTGCTAACAAGGCACCTTCTTGTGCACAAACACAATGCTTCTGAGGTGAGCTTTCCTTGTCCAAGGCGTTTGTCAAGAATTACTGGAAAACCAGGCACCTATAAGTGCTTACTTACATTCCAGTGACTTTTGAGAATTCTCAAAAGTCACTCGAATATAGCACCTAACTGTGCCTACTTACATTGCCCTCTTACCGCCTGCCCTGCACCTCTTGAGGCACCTCAGAAGCCTATTTACATTCCATTCTTACCGCCCTGCCACCCCCCTATTCCTTCCCCTTTATATAATCAGCCTTCTGCCTTCCCTTTTTACACCATCCTCTTTCCTTGTTTCCTCTTCCTCTTCCTCTTGGCGTTCCTCTATCTCTCCTTATCCCCTTTCCTACTGCATCCTCCCATCTTCACTTGCATCTCTTCCCTCGCCTCGTCCTCCCGTTCTCTCCTATCGCCCCTTCCGCTTCAGAGCTCCTCCGTGTGTTCATTCATTCACATGCAAGCAGCCTATTTCGCCCAAAACCTTTCTTTCCTCTTCCCGGCTGCTGCTCATCTGTCACTGTCCTCATTTCTCTCCTCCCCGGCTGCAGACGTCGTTCGTGTGCCCACATGCTGACTGCAAGAAGGATTTTGCATCAGATTACCTCTTACAGAGGCACTTGATTATTCACGACCCAAATGCTCCTCAGGTGGGTTTCCCTCCAAATGCTCCTCAGGTGGGTTTCCCTCCATGCTGCTCAGGTGGGTTTCCCTTGCGCTCCCCCTCTCTACGCCCCCCTCCCCTTCCCCTTTCTATCGTCAACCTTCGATCTTCCCCTTTATCCTCTTTCCTTGTTCCTTCTCTTCGTCTCTTCACACTCCCTCCTCTTCCCCTTCCTTCCTCTTGGCGTTCCTCTTACTCCGTCCTCTCCTTTTTCCTTCACCGTTGCTTACTCCTGTCTTCACTCGCCTCTCCTTGTTACAGGATTTTCCATGATTACTTATATCTAGCAAACGGATTAAAAGCAAACATATTATCCTTATACGCGGATGTGTTTCTCCTTCCCGGCACCCTGCCTTGGTTTCCCTGTGTTCTCCCCCCATCCAATTGTCAAGCCACACCAATACCCTTGCTCCCTCTATCCCTCTCCCTGCCCCCGCAATCACCAGTACCCATGCTCTCACCATCCCTCTCCCTGCCCCCGCAATCACCAATACCCATGCTCTCTCTATCCCTCTCCCTGCCTCCGCAATCGCCAGTACCCATGCCCTCATCCCCACTGCTCTTGGACATTCAAGCGCCGATATAACATGGTGCGGCATGCAAGGACGGTGCATAGGGGGCAGGGAGGGATTGGCGAAATGGTACGGCATGCGAGGAAGCAGCATTGGGGGGTGATGGGGAGTGGGGGGGGCGGGGTGATTGGTGTGTTTGGCAAGGGGAGCGGGTGCGGAGTAAGGGGTGTGCGTTGGGGGAAGCGGGGGAAGAGGGCGCATGGGGTAGCAGTGGGGAGGCGAGGAGGCGAGAATAGGGCTGATGCTGTGAGTGGGGAAGAGGGAAGGAAGGGGGAGGAGAAGGACGAAGAGGGAAGGTGGGAGGAGGAGCGGGAAGATGAGGGAAGGAGAGGGGAGGAGAGGGACGAGGAGGAAAGAAGGGTGGAGGAGAGGGACGAGGAGGAAAGAAGGGTGGAGGAGAGGGGCGAAGAGGAGAGGGGGGAGGAGGAAAGCAACGAAGAGGCTTTCAGAAAGAAAGGCGAGCATGGAGGTGAGAGGCAATCAACTTATGTGAGTGGAGAAGAGGGAAGGAGCAGGGAGGAGAGGGAAGAAGAGGGAAAGAGAGGGGCGGAGATGGATGGAGAGGGGGAAGTACCCCTGTCGCTTTCTCTCACAGAGGGAAGGGGAGGGGAGGAAAGGGATGAAGAGGGAAGGGGAGAGATGGATGAAGAGGGAAGGGGAGGGGAGGAGATGGATGCAGCGGGGGACATACTCCTGTCACTACCTGTGCAGGAGGAAAGATGGGAGGAGGAGAGAAACGAAGAGGGTCCTAGGGAGAAAGGGGAACATGGAGGGGAGAATGAAGCGAGTGCTGTGAGTGGGGAAGAGGGGAGGAAGGGGGGGGAGAGGGATGAAGGGGGAGGGGGAGGGGAGGAGATGGATGCAGAGAAAGAAGTACCCCTGTCACTTCCTGTGCGGGAAGAAAGGCGGGAGATGGAAAGGTGGGAGGAGGAAAGGTGGGAGGAGAAAAGGAACGAAGAGGCTACTAGGGAGAAAGGGGAGCATGGAGAGGAGAAGGAAGCGAGTGCTGTGAGGGGGGAAGAGGCAAGGAGGGGGGAGGAGAGGGATGAAGAGGGAGTGAAGGGGATCGACAAGGGTGAGGAGGGAAGGATTGGGGAGGAGAGGGAAGAGGAGGGAAGGAAGGGGGAGGAGAAGGGCGAAGAGGGAAGGACAGGGGAGGAGAGGGACAAAGGGGCTTACAGGGAAGAAGGGAAGCATGGAGGTGAGACAGAAATGACTGACGTGAGTGGGAAAGAGGAAAGGAGAAGGGAGAATAGGGATGAAGAGGGAGGGTGGGAGGAGGAGGGGGATGAAGAGGAGAGGAAGGGGGGGGGCAATGTGGAGAAGGCAATGTGGCAGTTGCAAGAAAAGGGGATCGCAGTTGGAGGAGGGAGAGGGGAGGGGGGAGCTGATGCAGTGAGGACAGACGAGGAGATAGGAGCGCATCCGGTCCTTTTCAGGGAAGACGGTGTGGTGGGTTTTGCAATGAACCAGCTTCAGGTAGATGGTGCCGCGGTTGGAAGAGGGAGAAAGGAGGGGAAAGGCGATGCTGTGAGGGAAGATGAGAAGGAAGGAGCTCATTTGGTTTCTGTGGGGGGGAGATGGGGGGAGAGCGGTGTGGAAATGACAGTGGTCTGGCTTCAAGGGGAGAGTGGGGAGGGGAGGGAAGAGGAGGGAACCAATGCTGTGAGGGAAGACGAGGAGCGAGCACCGCTTCCCGTCCGTCCCGAGGGGGAGGGCTGCATGGGAAGTGGGGAATTGAATCAGTGTGAGAAAGAGGAAGAGGAGGATGCGTGTGAGGAAGATGGTCCAGATGGAATGGGGAAAGAGGAGGAAGTTGGGGAGGAGGCGGGGGAGGAAGTGATGGAAGATTTGGGGTTGGGAGAAAGTGGGGGGTTGGGAGAAGGTAGTTTGGCTGGAGAAGCTGAGGGGCTGGTGGAAGAAAGGACGGCGGGGATATGTGGGGAGAGAGGTAACGATTGGAGGGGGCAAGAAGAGGGTAGAGAAGAATCAGAGGAGGAGGGGGGTAGGGCAGAGGATAGAGGAGGATGGGAGAGGGCATATGAAGGAGGAGGAGGGGCGATGGAAGAGGAAAAGGGAGGAGGGAAGGGGAAAGAGGAAGGGGGAGTAAGAGACAGGGCAGAGGAAAGAGGGAAGTGGGAGAGGGAAAGAGAGGACATGGATGGAAGGAAGGAGGAAGATGCGGCGGGTGAGCAAGAGGTGCACACAAGTTGTGAGGTGCACACGAGTTGTGAGGCGCACACAAGTTGTGAGGCGCCCCAAACCACGGCGGCGCAGCAAGAGGAGGTGCAACAAGAGGGAGTGGGGCAAGAGGAGGAGGAGCAAGAGGGAGTGGGGCAAGAGGAGGAGGAGCAAGAGGGAGTGGGGCAAGAGGAGGAGGAGCAAGAGGGAGTGGGGCAAGAGGAGGAGAAACAAGAGGGAGTGGGGCAAGAGGAGGAGAAACAAGAGGGAGTGGGGCAAGAGGAGGAGAAACAAGAGGGAGTGGGGCAAGAGGAGGAGGAGCAAGAGGGAGTGGGGCAAGAGGAGGAGGAGCAAGAGGGAGTGGGGCAAGAGGAGGAGAAACAAGAGGGAGTGGGGCAAGAGGAGGAGATACAAGAGGGAGTGGGGCAAGAGAAGGAGAAACAAGAGGGAGTGGGGCAAGAGGAGGAGAAACAAGAGGGAGTGGGGCAAGAGGAGGAGAAACAAGAGGGAGTGGGGCAAGAGGAGGAGGAGCAAGAGGGAGTGCAGCAACAGGAAGAGCAGGAAGAGGAGGTGCAACAAGAGGAGGAGCAACAGGAGGAGGAGAAACAAGAGGAGGAGGAGCAATTGGAGGAGGAGAAAGAGAAGGAGGAGAAAGAGGAGCAGCAGCAAGAGGAGGAGGAGCAAGTGGAGGAGGAGAAAGGGAAGGAGGAGAAAGAGGAGCAGCAGCAAGAGGAAGAGGAGCAAGTGGAGGACGAGAAAGAGGAGGAGAAAGAGGAGGAGCAGCAAGAGGAAGAGGCGCAAGTGGAGGAGGAGAAAGAGGAGGAGGAGAAAGAGGAGGAGCAGCAAGAGGAGGAGGAGCAAGTGGAGGAGCACCAAAAGGCGCACAGAAGCATGCAGGAAGGGTGCAAGAGAAACAGGCGTGATGCAGAAAGAAGGACTTGCTTCGAGTCAGCACAAAGCGTTCAAGATCAGTGGATGAGCCACGAGCGTGCAGCACCAGCTGGCGCACCCCGAGGGGAGGGATTTACAAGGAGAGAGGCGGTGAGAAAGAGGAGGCGTGTTGAAGGAGTGGAAGAGGAGGGGTCTGGTTCCAGGAAAAGCCACCTGAGAAGTCACCTGAGGAAGCCAAAGAGGTACCTGAGTATGAAGGTACATTTCTTTCTGGGGAGGAGAGGTTGCCGATGCAAGCTGAGGAAACACCTGAAGGCAACAGAGGTGGGGCACCTGGAGCAAGAAAAAGAGATTCTGGAGGAGGAAGAGATTCACCTCAGGCAGAAGGAAGAGCACTTGAAGCAACAAAACGAGCACCTGAGGCAGCAGGAGGAGCACCTGAAGCGTAAGAGGCAGCAGTTGGAGCTTCAGGTGAGACGCACACAGATTCGGAAGGATCGCCTGGGTTGCTGTTGTGTATGTGCTTGTGGTTTGGAGGGTGGGGTTGAGGAGAGGGATGAGGGAGGGTGGTGAAAGATGAGAGAGAAGAATGGTGGGGTGAAAGATGGAGGGAGTGGAGGGGGGGGTATGGTGAAGAATTGAGAAAACAAGGGAGTGGTGAGTGGAGGGAGAGGAGGTGGGGGTGGTGGTGAAAGGAGAAGAGAGAGAGGATGGAGCATGGTTTTGGGGGAGGAAGGGGAGAGGTTGGAGGAAGGCGGGGGGGAATGCAGGAGACAACCAGGAGAAGCACCCTGCACCCCACGTGCCCCACCCTGGCGTAACCATATGAACAAAGCTAGCAGTATATAAGTATGCATGCGAAACAAATTATTTATACAAAGTAATGTAATGCGAAACAAAATAAGAGTTTTGTAATGTCATGCGAAACAAAATATTTACACAAAAACGAATATTTTACATTTTTTATTTCAAAAAATTTGATTGTTATGTGACGTACGTACCTCACTATCTCCCTTGCTCCCCCTTCCATAAATCTATTACGTTGTACAGAAACGTGTAAATATGTATATATGGAATTCACATTTCCAAATTGTTTTCTTCACCTGCGCCATTAGTGCGGGCAGCCAATGTCGGAGCCCTGATGCAACAATTCGCCACCCCCATGGCAGGGAATTCTCGTCCCAGCTTTTGCTGGCAAGAGGGGTGCGAATTTCGAAAATTGCGCGATTTGGCACGGCTGTTCGCCTCGAACAGACAGAAACGGTCCCGTTTCTTTCCCATCAGCATTCTTATCGTTTCCCGCTAGAGTGCGAGGGGGAGGGGGAGAATATATGTTAGAGAGGAGGGGCATATCGGGAGAGTGCGGGGTCATGTTTGATGCACGGCGCGGTGCGTGGTCGCACGAGCGGGAATCTTGAGGCGCCTAAAAAATCGAACGAGCGGGATTCTAGTGCAGAGCGGCGTAGCGGAGGCGATTAAACCGCGCCAGTGTGATAGAAACACGCTTTTTATGCGGGAAAATATTTTCACAGTGTAGTTGACTGGTGATCGACTCGCAAGTCACCTCGGGAAATAGCAAATCACGTCTAGTAGGGTGCTAGGCTGCTTGCGAGAGGGCGGGAATTACTCCCACGTGGAACGGACGGCAGATTCGTGATGGACTCGCGGCGGGATGCAAGCGAAATTCCAACGGGCATCGGCGCGGCTGTCGTACCACGCGATTCCCTTCCAACGGGCATCAGCGTGATTCTCGGACTTGAGAATTCGCGGAACGCCCCCCCGCCTCTGCGACGCTACGCGCGGCGGTTCTCGCCTCGCCTGGCGCAGCGGAATCGCGCGGAGCTTCCGCCTGTTCCTGCGCAGAGGCGGAATGCGAGGGGGGTTGTGCCGGTTTGGCCCGTCCTGCACGGTCCGCCCGTTCCGCCTGTTCCCGCGCGGGGGGATGGCGCGGAGGCTGCGGTTGAAGGCGCGCGGGCGGAAGAGGTTCCGCGGGTTGGGGGAGCAGCAGGGGAAGCTGGGCAGGGGGGAGGGGAAGAGGGGAGGGATACGGTGGAAACAGGGGGATGCCGCGGGGGAGGTGGCAGGAGGGGGTTATGGGGTGGTGGGAGGGTGGGAGGAGTGCTGGCGGGTGATGGTGGTGGGATGGGGGAGGGTCGAATGGGAGTTGGGGGAGAGGTGGGGGAAGATGGGGATGGGGATGAGGGCAATGTGGAGTGGGTAGGAGAGGACGAGGAGGGTGTTTGGGAAGTGACAGTGGGGGAGAGCAGAGATTTTGATGGTAAAGTGTGTGATATTAATGAGTTCCTCTGTAAAAGTGGGGAGGAGAGGGAAAAACGTACACGGCCGACAAGGGAGGTGGAGGGTGGGGAGGGAGAGAGGGGGGCAGGTAAGGTGAAGAAGGGGAAGCCAAAGGGGAAGGGGAAGGAGAGTGGGGAGGGGAAGGAGAAGGAGAAAGGGGAGAGGAAGGGGAAGAAGGAGAGGGGGAGGGTTGGGCATGACTACACGTGTAAGGAGTGTGGAAAGGCGTTTCCTCTGTCGGCAAGGTTATGGAATCACATGGCCACCCACTCGAAGAAGGTGTGTGTGTGCTTCCCTCCCTCACTCCATCACTCACGCACTCACTCACTCACTCGCACACTCACTCACTCTCTCCCTTCAACTCATACTTTCCCACTCGTTTAATTCTCGTTCAGTCCCCTCCATCCCTTCTTGCAGTTCGTCTGTCCACATGCCAATTGCCAAGGAAGCAGCATCCGAGGAAGCAGCAGTGCGGTCGAATAGGTGCGAGCTGTTTCTCTACAATTCCTTTTTCCGTCCCTTCAATGCCCCGTCCACTGCAGTTCGTCTGTCCACATGCCAACTGCCAAAAGGCTTTCGCATTCAAGTACAAGTTGAAGGATCATCTTCTCCTTCACAACTCCAATGCCCCCCAGGTGAGCTTCTCTCGCTCCTTCTCTCCTTCCAAATCCCATTCCTCCCTCTTCCCCCCCCTCTCCCCCCTTCCTCTCCCCCCTCTGTCCCCTTCCTCTTCCCCCTCTCCCCCCTTCCTCTCCCCCCTCTGTCCCCTTCCTCTCCCCCCTCTCCCCCCTTCCTCTCCCCCCTCTGTCCCCTTCCTCTCCCCCCTCTCCCCCCTTCCCCTACCCCCTTCTCCGTTTCCACAAGTTGACAACCCCAGCATCTTCCCCAATGCCCCCCAAGTAAGCTGCTCTCGTTCTCTCCCCCTCTTTTTTTTTTTTTCCTTTTTCCTCTTCCTCTCCTCTGGCTCCCTCATAATCCTTGTCCACTTCCCCGTCCCCTTCAAAAATTGTGGCTCCCTTTTGTTTTCCTTCGCTCCCTCATAATCCTTTCCTTTTTCCTTTCCCAGCATTTTCCTTTTTCCTCTTCCTCTCCTCTCGCTCCCTTATAATCCTTGTCCACTTCCCCGTCCCCTTCAAGAATTGCGGCTTGTATGTGCCCTCCCTGTTTTCTATCCCCGGCCGCACCCTCCCCGCAATCACCAGCACCCATGCCCTATCCCCACTGCCCGTGGACATTCAGTCGTCGAGGCAACATGGTGCGGCATGCAAAGATGCTGCATTGGGGCTTTATCAAGGCGTCTTGTGTTTCCTCTCCCTGTTTTCTATCCCCACCCCCCACCTCCCACCACCAAACCACCAGCACCCATGCCCTCATCCCCTCTGCTCTTGGACATTCAGTCGTCGAGGCAACATGGTGCGGCATGCAAAGATGCTGCATTGTGAGGAGTGTGGGATTGCGTTTTCTCAAAAGGCAAAGTTCAAGAAACACATGGCCACCCACTCAAAGCAGGTGTGTTTCCTCTCACTCTCTCTCTCCCGCACTCACTCTCTCACTCTCTCACTCTCCCACTCTCCCACTCACTCACTCATTAAATCTCTCGCTCTCTCGACCACTCACTCACTTTGCTCGCTCATTTGCTCACACACTCATTCATCCTCTCCCTTTCTCACACACCCTCTGGGCGCCTTGTCTGTGATCCTGGCTCGACATGTTTTCCTGTCTGTCTTACCCTCGTCCCCTCGTCCGCATGTTCCCTCATTGCCTCATCGCTTCCACTGCATCAGTTGGTGTGTCCGTCCGCATGAAAATGGGTCAAAGAATAGGCGCAAATGTTCTTGCTTCCTTCCCTCGTCCACTGCAGTTCGTGTGTCCTCATGAAAATTGCCCAAAGGCATTCGCACTCAACTGCTGGTTGACGAGGCACCTTCTAGTGCACAACCCTAATGCCCCCCGGGTAAGTTTTCCTCTCTCATTCTCTCCTCCTCGCTCCCCACCTCCCTCTCCATTCCCCTTTTCTCCTTGCAGCTCCCCCCTGCCCCCGTTCCTCTTCTCCCTATTTCCTTTCCTCGTCCCCCTGTTCCCTTTCCTCTCCCTTTTCCTCCTCTCTCGCTCCTCCTCTTTCTCTCCTCTCACTCCCTCCTTGTCCTCGTCCCCTTCCACCATCCCTCCCTGTCCATATTGCATCTTCCCATCCCATCCCCTTTGCTTTCTTCACCCGTCCTCCCTCTCTCGCCTCTCCTACGATGTCGTCAACTTCTCTTGAGCTCTGCTTCTGCTTCTATCAAGGAGACATGGAGTTTACTGCCGTCAGCAGTCCCATTGGCCTGATTGCAAGGAAGCGGCTTCGAGGTGACTCTTAAGCGACTGAAAAACTGTCATCAGCAGTCTGATTGGTCTAATTGCAAGGATGCCACGATGCGGTCTAATTGGTGCTGTTCAATTCTCCACTACCTGTTCTCTTCCCCACCCCCACTCTCTCCGGTATTCACCAGCACCCGTGTCCTCATCCCCGTTGCTCTCGGACCTTCAAGCGTCGAGACCACATGATGCATCATGCAAGGAAGCAGCATGCAAGGGTGCTGCATTGTGCCATATTCAGGGCGTCTTGAGTTTCCTCTCCCTGTTTTCTCTTCCCACCCCCCCACCCCCCCCCCCCCCCCCCCCCCCCCCCCCCCCCCCCCCCCCCCCTTTAATCACCAGCACCCATGCCCTCATCCCCACTGCTCTCGGACCTTCAAGCGTCGAGACCACATGTTGCATCATGCAAGGAAGCAGCATTGCGGAGAGGGGGGAAGAGGGGAGAAGCTGCAGCGTGCAAGGAAGCAGCGTTGTCAGGAGGGGGGGAATGGGGGCATGGCACGGCTTGTAGGTACGCAGCATGGCACGGAAAGGGGGAGTGGAGGGAGGGTGATTGGTGTGTCTGGTGGGGTGGTGGGGAGCGGGGGTTGGGTAAAGAGTGTGCATGAGGGGAAGAAGGGGAAAAGGGCGGATGGGGGAGAGGTGGGGATGCATGGAGGCGAGAAGGAGGGTGATTTTTTCAGTAAGGGAGAGGGAAGGAGGGAGGAGGAGGAGAAGGGCAAAGAGGCGAGGGGGGAGGAGAGGGAAGGAGAGGGAAGGAAGGGGGAGGAGAGGGAAGAAGAGGGGAGGAGGGGGGAGGAGAGGGAAGAAGAGGGGAGGAGGGGGGAGGAGAGGAAGGAGGAGGCGAGGAGGGAGGAAGAGGCGAGGAGGGAGGAAGAGAGGGAAGAGGGAACGAGGGGGGATGAGAGGGGCGAACAGGGAAAGAGGGAGGAGGAGAGGAACGAGGAGGCTTTTAGGCAGGAAGGGGGGCGTGAAGGTGAGGAGAGAACGAGTGCGGTGAGGGGCAAAGAGGGAAGGAGCGGGGAGGAGAGGGACGAAGAGGGAATGGGAGGGAAGGAGAGAGATGAAGGAGGAAGGGGAGGGGAGGAGAGGGATGAAGGAGGAAGGGGAGGGGAGGAAAGAGATGAAGGAGGAAGGGGAGGGGAGGAAAGAGATGAAGGAGGAAGGGGAGGGGAGGAAAGAGATGAAGGAGGAAGGGGAGGGGAGGAAAGAGATGAAGGAGGAAGGGGAGGGGAGGAGAGGGACGAAGAGGAGGATCCCCTACCCTTTATTCAAAGGTGTGGCCATGTGGAGAGCAGCGTGGGAAGGGCAGTGACACAGCTTCAAGAAGGTTTTGGCACGGCTGGGGGAGGGACGGGGGAGGAGGGAGCAGATGCTATGAGGGATGAAGAGGAAAGGAGAGGGGACGAGAGGAATGAAGAACAGGAATTAGTACCTCATCGGCTCCCTTCTAAGGGGGAGGGAAATGATTGTGGAGGGCGGTGGGGAGAGGAAGGGGCACCCCAATTCCAATTCCTTCCTCCCAGGGGGGAGGTCCGCATGGGGGAGGCAGTGATGCTGCCGTCTCAAGGGGAGGGAAGCGCGGCTGGAGGAGGAAGAGCGGAGGGGGGGGCTGGGGCCGAGAGTGGAGAGGAGAGGTGGCAGCCTGGGGGGGGAGCGGGGAGGAGTGCGCGTGGAGGATGGAAGGGGGAGGGGGGAGCTTCTGGGGATGGTGGGGGAGGGCATAAGTGTGAGGTGAAGGAAGAGGAGGAGGATGGGTGTGACGTGGATGGTCGAGGTGAAGTGGGGAAGGGGAAGGAAGTGAGGGAAAATGGGGCTGGGTTTGAGTCGGTTCAAAGCATTCGAGAGCGGTGGAGGAGCAACGAGCGTGCAGAGCGTGCAGCAACGAGTGAGGCCCGTAGAAGAGGGTTGCTGCGAAGGGAAGCGGTGAGGAGAAAGCGAAGGCCTGTTGGAGGAGTCGTTGAGGGGGAGAGAGGCATTGGGAGTGAGGGAGCTGGTTACAGGAGAAAGCGAAGGCGTGTTGGAGGAGTCATTGAGGGGGAGGGCGCTGGTTACAAGAGAGGCTACCTGAAAAATCACCTGAGGCAGCAGAAGAGGTACCTGAGCACGAAGGTGCATCATTTTGTGGGGAGGAAGGGGCGGCGATGCAAGCTGAGGAATCACCTGAAGGCAACAGAGAAGAAGCACCTGAGGAGGAAGGAGTTTCTCCTGAAGGAGGAAGAGGTCCATCTGAGCCAGAGGGAGGAACACCTGGACAAACAGAAAGAGCACCTGAGACAGCAGGGGGACCATATTAGAGAACAGAAGGAGCAGCAAGAGTTGCACCTGAGGCAACAGGAGGAGCATCTGAAGCAACAGAACGAGCACCTGAGGCAGCAGGAGGACCATTTGAGGGAACAAAAGGAGCAGCAAGAGTTACACCTGAGGCAGCAGGAGGAGCAACTGAAGGAACAGGACGAGCACCTGAGACAGAAAGAGGCTCAGATAAGAGAACAGAGGGAGCAACAAGAGTTGCACCTGAGGCAGCAGGAGGAACACCTGAGGCAGCAGAACGAGCACCTGAACGATAAGGAGAACCACCTGAAACGAAAAAGGCAGCACCTGGAGCTTCAGGTTAGGCGCACGCGAAGACGGAGGGATCGCCTGAATCGTCGCTCTGTACGTTCTCGGGGTTCGGGAAAGGAGGCGGTGGTGAGTGGTGGAGAGAGAGACATGCAGATTCGGAGGGATCGCCTGCGTCGTCGCTCTGTGCGTTCTCGTGGTTCGCGGAGGGGGGTGGTGGTGAGTGGTGCAGAGGGGCGCACTCAGATTCGGAGGGATCGCCTGATTCGTCGTTCTGTACATTCTCGTGGCTCGAGAATAGGGGTTGGGATGGGTGATATGGAGGGGGTGGGGTTGGCGGGGGATGGAGGGAGGCGAGGTGTGGTGAAGGATGAGAGAGAAGAGTGGTTGGGGTGAATGATGGAGGGAGTGGAGGGGGGTGTGGTATAGGGTGGAGGAAGGGAGGGGGATGGAGAAGGATGCGGAGAGAAGGGAGGAGTGGTGAGTGGAGGGGGAGGAGGTGGTGGTGCGGGTGACTAGTCGGGGGGAAGGGAAGGGAAGGAGAAGAGAGGAGGGAGCATGGTCCCGGGGAAGAAAAGGGAGAGGTTGCAGGATGGCTGGAGGAACTAATTGTCAGGTATTGGAAGATCTTTGTACAGTATAACATCAGGGAGGGATCAGTGAGGAGATATCCATACATGCAGTCATGATTGGGATTGGAGAAGCCGGGCATACATAGGAGTTCGTTACTCTATGTTTGTGCTTTGGCAATGCTCTACAAGGAGTGCTCCCGGTGCACTGCGTGTTAGTTTCTAGACATCTCAGCTCAACGTCTCAAAACCCTTCTGTCATCATGGAACGCTCCTAGTGTATTGCATCTTGTACAGGAGGTTGTGTGGCCTGATCTGTTATTCGTTGCTTCTTTAGTGCCTGGATAATTTCGCTCTTGAAAATGCTAGATCTTACTATGAGCTAGTTTAAGTGATGTAGGTAGTGTAGCTCGAATTTCATCCTCTCAAAAGGTTCAGACTGTTTGAAAAGAGTTTGTATATGTATCTGTACCAAATGCTTTTGCGAATGTTTTCTACCCCAGCAATTTCTAACGCGGGGTAGCCAATGCCGCAACTATTATTGGGCGCCAATTTCGTATCACTCGCGTTCCGCCCAGTTTCTATGCTCAACGCAACGGATACTTCTAGTTGCGCTGCGGGCAGCTTGAACGGGTTAGGTCTTGGAAGTGCAACGGGACATAAATGTGATTGTCAGGAGTATAGCGCGTAAGCGGATAGAGTATGCGCTGCATTGCGCGGGCCAGGTATAGCGCGCGGTGTGATATTACTTTACTCTTAGTAACGAGGCGCCGTTTCGGGTGTGATAGAGTATGCGCTGCATTGCGCGGGGCTAGGTATAGCGCGCGGGTGTGATAGTACGAAACCGTTTGTAAGGTGGCGCCACTGCGGGTGTAATAAGAATATAGAGTACACTGCGGATGTGATAGAGTATATACGCTGCGCCGTTCCGCATCGCCCCGTCAATACCGCATTGCTGCGCCGTTCCGCGTTGCTGCGCCGTTCCGCATTGCTGCGCAGTTCCGCATTGCTGCGCAGTTCCGCATTGCTGCGCCGTTCCGCGTTGCTGCGCCGTTCCGCGTTGCTGCGCCGTTCCTCATTGCTGCGCCGTTCCGCATCGCCCCGACGGTACCGCCCCACGCCAATCCGCGAGAGTAAGTTCACGTCTGGTAGGGTGATAGCGATACATCGGAAATGGACTTGCGGGACTGCATGCGCCTTATAACGGGTACATGCGGGTCACTTGCGCGCGAGAATCCGCGGGACGGCCCGCCGCATTTCCGGGGCTACGCGCGGCGATTCTCGCCTTGTCCGGCGCAGCGGAATGGCGCGGAGCTTCCGCCCGTTCCGCCAATTCCCGCGCAGCGGCGGGATGTCGCGGCGGCTCTGCCCGTTCCCGCGCAGGGGAGTGACGCGGAGCTTTCGCCAGAAGCCGCGCAGGCGGAACGGGTTCCGCGGGTTGGGAAAGAAGAGGTTGAGGGTGGGCAGGGGGAAGGGGCAAAGGGGAGGGATGTGGCGGAAGAAGGGGGAAGCTCGGGGGAGGGGGGAGGTGGGGGCGAGGGTGGGAGTCTATGGGGCGGTGAGACAGGGGGAGCGGTGATGGGGGGAATTGGTGGTAGAACGGGGGAAGGTCACACATGGGTTTGGAGGTTAGATGGAGGAGGGGGATGGGCGAAAGGGTTACAGGTGGGGGAAAGGCAAGCTATGGGAACGGGGGAAGAGGTGCGAGAGGGGGAAGAGGTGCGGGAGGAGGTGCTGGAGGGGGAAAAGGTGCGGGACGGGGAAGAGGTGAATGAAGATGGGGATGGGGAGGAGTGTGAAGTGGTTTGTGTGGGGGAATGTGGGGGGGGCGAGGGGAAGTGTGAGGGAGGAGAAGATGATGTGACGGAAGTTCCAATCTGGATATTAGCAGAGGACAATAGGTGGCGGGATATTAACGAATTATCTGGTGAAAGTGGGAAGGAGAAAGAAGACTTGACGGGGGAAGGGGGGAGAGTGAGAGATAGGGGGGAAGAAAAGGTGGACGAGGAGAGGGGGGAGGGGGGGCATGAGAAGCAGCATACTTGCAAGGCATGTGGGAAGGCTTTTGATCGGCGGGCAAGGTTAAAGGAGCACGTGGCCTCTCACTCACTCACTCGCCCACTCTCCCATCCTAAACAGGTGTGTTTTCCTTGTTCACGCGTCCACTCACTCAACTCGCCCCCTCACTCACGCGCGCACTCACCCACGCTCCCCCTCACGCGCTCACTCGCTCGCCCACTGAACTCAACGCTCTCGTTCACGCGGACGCTAACGTTTCTCCAGGTTTCTGCCAGCTCTATTTTTGAGACGTCTCAAAGTCTCTGGTGCCAGCTCTACCCTTACCCCTCGTCTTCCCCCCTCTTGCTCTCTCTGCAGTAGCGGTCGCTTGTGTGCCCGCATGTGGGTTGCCAAGAATCACCAGCTAACCCAAGCACCTTCTTGTGCCTACGGTACCTCCCCCACTTGCCGCCTGCCCCTCTGCCCACGATTGTGCCTCACGCCCCTTTCTGCAGCGGCGGCCGTTTGTGTGCCCGCACACGAGTTGCCGCAGGGTGTTCGCCTAGAAATGTTGCGAGACGCCTCATAACAAACTTGTTCCCTTCCCTCATTGCGCCTCATGCCCCCTCCCTTGTGCTCTGCAGCGGCGGCCGTTTGTGTGCCCGCATGTGGGTTGCCACAAGGCGTTCCCCAGAAGCTCCAAGCTAACAAGGCACCTTATAGCGCATGACCCCAATGCTCCTCGGGTGAGGCTTTTTCTGTTTCGCAAGCGGGGTAGTTTCCTCTGGACTCTTAGCAAACAACATGGGTGAGGCAATTTCGTTTTGCAAGTCCTTGTTGAGGATTCTCAAAGCGACCACCAAGGACTACCGTGTTTTGAGTCGACTCATATCGCGACTCATGTCCCGCGAATTATGTCCGAAGAATTCTCAAAAGCGACCACCAATCCAGTGACTACCGGCTAGCTAGGCACCTTGCTGGGTTTCCCAGGTTCACAGGTTCACCTCAGAGGCAAGGGAAGCTCACCTGGGAGGAGGACCCTGTTGCTCCCCAGGAGACACAATTTTCAAACAGCAGCAGGGACGTAAAGCTAGATGTAAAGCAAGAAGAACAACAGCTAGTATGTACTTTCTGTTGTAAAATCAAGTGCTCAAGGAGCTTAGATCCCACTTTAGTTGAGTCCCCTTTCATGCCCTGCCTTGATCCTCCCTTTTCCCGCACTTCTCCTCCCCCATCCCGCTCGCCAATTTTTAACACCGTGCTCTCATCCCATCCTCATTGCTCCCAAACCTTCAAGTGGCAAGATGCACTGTTGCATGCAAGCATGCATGCAGAATGCATGGGTAAGTAACGCACCCATATCGTTTCAGCATGCAAGCACACAGCACTTGCGGCTTTGATTGATGTGCCCTGTATCTCCTCTCCATGTTTTCTCCCCCACCCGCTCACCCCCGGCCGATCCCCAGCTCACGTGCCCTCATCATCCCCACTGTCTCCGAGCTTTCAAGTACCGAGACGCCCTGGCGTTCCATGTGAGGACAGAGCACGCCGGGGAATGGGGGACTAGGGGGCGGGTGGTTGGTGTTTCGCGTGAGGAGGTGGGGAGTGTGGGCGGGGTAAGCATTGAGCAGAAGAAGTGGGGAAAGAAGGGAAAGAGAGCGAATAGGGGAGTGGTGGGGAGGCGTCATCCTGTGAGAGAGGCGGTAGAAGGGGGGAAGGAGAGGGGGGAAGGGGAGGGAGAGAGAGGGGAGGAGAGGGAAGGAGAGAAAAGGAATGGTGAGGAGATGGGTGAAGAGGGAAGGACCGTGGGGGAGAGGAATGAAGAGGCGAGGGATGACGAAGAGAGAGGAAGGAGAGGGGAGGAGAGGAATGAAGAGGCAGGATTGACCCATCGCCTTCCTTCCAGGCATGGCAGCTTGGGAAGGCCACTGGGCCAGCCGCAGGAGGAGGGCCGTGGGGCTGGAGCAAGGAGGGGGGAAGCGGAGGAGGGAACGCAGTCCTTGCTAGGCTATACGGGCAGCATCAGAAGGGTTGTGATGCCGCTTCAAGGGGAGGGCAGCGGTGGAGGAGGAGGAAGGGAGACAGAGCAGGCAGCAGCAGAGCAGGAAGCAGCAACTCGATCCTTACGTGAAAAGGAGGGCAGCATGGAAAGTGCAGAGGTCCAGCTTCAAGGGGAGGTCAGCAGTGGTGAAGGAGGGAGGGGGACGGAGAAAAGTCCAAGGACCCAGTCCTTCATGTGTAAGGAGTGTGAGAAGACGTTTTCTCGCAGAGAAGCGTTCAGGAAACACATGGCCACTCACTCGAAGCAGGTGTTTTTTGCTCATTCCCCCACTCACTCACTAGCTCAGTCGTCACTCTCTCACTCACTCCCTCGCTTCCTCAGTCCCTCACTCCCAAATGCTGCATGCGTTTGGTGAATGCTCTACCCGTTGCCAACGCTCGTCCTCTCTTTCTCTCGTCCACTCTTTCCCTCGTCCTCTCTTCTCTCCCACGTATCGCCGCTTCTGCGTCAGAGTTTGCCCATTCACGCGCATCCTTCCAGTGGATTCACCGGCCAGTGAAATCGCTCAAGTCACTTCTTCTCTCTGCCTGGCTGTTCCTCTGCCCCTGCCCTCATTTCTCTCCCTCACCGCTCATTTTGTTGCAGAGGTCGTTCGTGTGTCCAAAGTCTGACTGCAAGAAGGCGTTTGCAACAAATTATCGCTTACAGCGGCACTTAAACGTGCACGACCTCAATGCTCCCCGGGTGGGTTCCCCCTTGCCTTTTGAGTCTATAAACCCAAAAATGTGAGTCACCTCGTTCGCCAAAAATTACCAGCTAACGAGGCTCTTGAATGGGCACAGCGCCAATGCTCCTCGGGGTCCCCTTGCTCTTCCCCCTCCACTTCCCATTCCGCTCCCTTTTCTACCTTCTCCCTTCTATCCTCCGTTTTCCCACCATACTCCTTCCTTGTTCCTCCTCTTCCTCTTTCTCGACCTCCGTGCATCCTCTTGGGCTCTGTACCCAAGAGGAAGCAAGAGGAAGGACCTCTTGGGCTCCTTCCGCTCCTTAACTGCCGTACCCCATTCCATAATCTCGTATCCCATTCCCTCTGTATTTTTAGATTTTTCAAAGAAAAGAGAATTAAAAAAACTCTTCTCCCAATCCATAATATCGTCTTCACCCTTCCTCTCTCACTCGCGCCTCTACAACACCTCACTGACCTTCTTGGTGGTATGCGTCTTCTTGTTCCACTTGAGTTTCTAGGAAGTTCTTTCGTTTCGTCCCTTCAGATGCTTCAGCGTTTTCGTCAGTTGCTTAAGCAATGTCTTCAGGCGTGCAGCCGTTACACTACGAGCCTAGACTGGATCCTTGAGACTTTGAGTGCTGTAGGCGTTTTCCAAAAATATATATGTTCTCAAATGAAACAGGTTAGCTGTGTTCTCCCTGTTGGTTTCTCCCTGTTGGTTGTATTGTGCTTTCTCAATGGTTTGGGTGTCCTCTCCCCATCCCTGCCGCAATCACAAAACCACCAGTGCCCTTGCACTTCCCTCCAACCCCCCCCTTCCCTCCAACCCCCACCTTCCCTCCAACCCCCCCCTTCCCTCCAACCCCCCCCTTCCCTCCAACCCCCCCCTTCCCTCCAACCCCCCCCTTCCCTCCAACCCCCCCCTTCCCTCCAACCCCCCCAAACCCCCAGCACCCGTGCCCTCATCCCCACTGCTTTCGAACCTTCAAGCGCCCAGACTACATGGTGCGACATTCTAGAATGAAGCATTGCACAGAGAGGGGGAGAGGAGGAGAGAGGCTGCAGCATGCAAGGAATCAACGTTGCGGGGAGGCAAGGAGGGACGAAGAGGGAAGGAGGGAGGAGAGGGACGAAGAGGGAAGGAGGGAGGAGAGGGACGAAGAGCGAAGGAGGGAGGAGAGGGACGAAGAGGGAAGGAGGGAGGAGAGGGACGAAGAGGGAAGGAGGGAGGAGAGGGACGAAGAGGGAAGGAGGGAGGAGAGGGACGAAGAGGGAAGGAGGGAGGAGAGGGACGAAGAGGGAAGGAGGGAGGAGAGGAACGAAGAGGGAAGGAGGGAGGAAGAGAGGGACGAAGAGGGAAGGAGGGAGGAGGAGCGGGACGAAGAGGGAAGGAGGGAGGAGAGGAACGAAGAGGGAAGGAGGGAGGAGGAGAGGGACGAAGAGGGAAGGAGGGAGGAGGAGCGGGGCGAAGAGTGGTGGGTGTCACATGCCTTCCCACTCAGAAGCAGGGAAAACGTGGGAAGGGCAGAGAGCCGCGTGGGGGAGAGCAGCGTGGAAAGGGCTGTGATCCCGCTCGAGGAAGAGAGCGTTGCAGTTGGAGAAGGGAGGGGGGAAGAGGAAAGAGAATCCTGGAGAAAGGGCAGCGTTGGGGAGGCAGTGGTGATGCAGCTTGAAGAGGGGTTCGGCACGGTTGGAGACGGAGAGGGGATAGAAGAAGGAGCAACACCATTGCTTCCACCCAGGGGGGAGGGCAGTGTTGGGGAGGCAGCGGTGATGCAGCTTGAGGAGGGGTTCGGCACGGTTGGAGAAGGTAGGAGGGAGGAGGGAGCAGATGCTGTGATGGAGGACGAGGCTGGAGTGAACCATTCCCGCCCTGCCCATTCCCTTGTTGCCAAGGTGGGTAGGGCAGTGGTGCAGGCGCAAGGGGAGGGCAACATGATTGGGGGAGGGAAAGGAGCGGGGGGGGTTGCTGGGGTCAGCGAGGGGAAGAATCAGTGTGGGGAACAGGAGGAGGATGGGTGTGAGGAGTATGGTCGAGGTGGAGTGGGGAAGGGGGAGGAAGCGGGGGATGATTTGTGGATAGAAACGGAAATAGGGGAGAGAGTAGAGGAAAGGGGAATACGGGAGAAGGAAGTGGGAGGAGGATACGGAGAGAGCGAGATAGAGGGCATCGATGGAAGGAAGGAGGAAGATGCGGCGGGTGAGAAAAGGGTGCGCACGAGCGTGCTCGAGTGGCGGAAGAGGAAGAACCATGGTGCAGCAAGAGTTGGAGCATCCAGACAGGAGGGGTTTACAAGGAGAGAAGTGATGAGAAAGAGAAGGTGTGCTAGAGGAGGTGCTGAGGGGGAGGGTATTAATTCCAGGAAAATCCACGTGAGAAGCCACCTGAAAAGCCACCTGAAGGGGCACAAGAGATACCTGGCCACGAAGGTGCATCTGATTGTTGGGAGGAGAGGCCGCCGATGCAAGCTGAGGAAACACCTGAAGGCAACAGAGAAACAGTTGAGGCGGAAGGAGATGCTCTTGAAGGAGGAAGAGGCCCACCTGAGGCAGAGGGGCGAGCACCAGAAGCAACAGGAAGAGCACCTGATGCAGCAAGAGCTGCACCTGAAGCAGCAGCGAGAACTCCTGAAGCAGCAGCATGAGCACCTGGACGATCAGGAAAAGCACCTGAAGCGTAAGATGCAGCACCTGGAGCTTCAGGTGAGACGCACACAGATTCGGAAGGATTGTCTGAATCGTTCCTCTGTAGCTCCTCGTGTGTTTAAAAAAGAGGTGGTGATGAGTGGTGCGGAGGGATGGAGGACGGTTGAGGATGGTTGAAGGAGAGGAAGAGCGGTAGCTGTGAGTGGTGTGGAAGGAGGAAGAGTGGTGGAGAATGGAGGGAGAGGAGCAGGTGTGGTGAAGGATGAGATAGAACCAGTGGGGTGGTTAAAGATGGAGAGAGGGGAGAGGGGGTGGTGAGGGATGGAGGTGAAACATGGAGAGAGGAGGATCGTGAACACTGGGACAGGAGGCAAGGTGGTGAATGATGAATTGACAGGAGGGAGGGGGGGTGAAGGATGAAGAGATTGGAGGTGGGGTTCGGGGTGCAACTGACAGAGGGAGAACAAGGGGACAAGCAGAAGAAGCACCACTGCCACACGCCCCACCCCGGCATACGGTAACCAAATGATGACTAGTGAGCTGACTGCGATCTCTTATCACTACGCTCATGCCGGCTCTACTGCATGGGTGGAACAGCTGAAAGGGTGCATGCACAGGGAGAAGCACCCCCCTACTTGCCCCACCCCGGCATAACTAAGTGATTATTTTTGGGTTGATGAAATCGTGCATAGCCAAAAGTTGTGGTCTTGAAATACTCAAGTATCACACTATATTATAATTTTTAAAAGTGTAACACTTTTTCAAATTTCGTATTGTGAAAGCGAGGACGTGGCCAACGCAGCAAAGGTAGCGGCTCGACGCTACTCACCCCTCTTTTGCCTACAAAAGAGGAACATGATTTCAGTAGCTCCACCCACGTTCTTCATTTCCAATTTCTAGTTTTACTTTCCTAGTTCTCGTTCATCCTGGCGAAGACACAGTCCCTCCCGCGGTTCAAGTCCCCGTCAACTCTTCTTACTGACATTCTTCAACACAACCTCGCGAGTATGGCTCCCGCCAACACTACACTTAATCGAGAGGCGGAAAAGACGACTACCCCGGGTAATACTTCGGAGCACGCGAACGCGCCCGGGGCACCCGACCGCCGCGGAAAACGCCCTGCTGAGGACAATTTCGACGAGGGCCCCTCAGGAGTCGAAGTTCTGCTCGGGAGCAACTCCCGAGCCCCCTCTAAAGAAGCACGCGCAACTGTGAAACAATCGCGCGTGCCCCCTGCTGACGAGCGCGTGGCTGCCAGGCAGCCGCGCGGTCCGGTCAAGTCAACGGGGGCTGACGCGGACGGCAACGCTGGTCAGCCGGGGCCCACTCTGCAGAAGCGGCAGAAAGCAGCGGCCTCAGCAGAAACCGCCCCAATCAACCCCCTCGCGTCCCTCACTGCGCAGCAAATGCAAGCGCTGCTCTCGATGTTACAGCAGAGCGCGGCGGTTACAATCGCAACTTCATCCGACTACATTTTAACACCTGCAAAAAATGAAAATCAGAAGGAAGTCACCGCCCCTCGCACCAACAAGGCGGCTCGTGTCAACGAGACCACTGTCGCACCACTTCCCGCGCCCGCACCTGCGACGACAGCGACGACTCAGAGAACGAAGATGGTGAGGCCCCCAACAACATTACCCGCCGTCGTATTATTGCACCCGCACCCTCCCTCCCACCCCTCCACCTCACACCCGCATCCACCACCTTCATGCGCAAAGGTGTGCGCGATCAGGCGGAGCTCTTTTCTGCCATCCAGGCGCACCTGAAGCACGTCGATTTCAAGCTCCAGCACGGTGACATAGAAAGCGCCCTCACCAACGTCGCGGAAATCGAGACGCTCATCCACAAGCGCTTCGAAGTCCTATTGGTGGCGGACGAGGCGGGGTTCGAAGCTGCCGATCGTTTTCAGCTGTACCAGTCCAAGAGCGTTTTGTCCTCACGCTCGTACAAGCTCGCCGTCGCCGATGTGGCGGCTCTCAAACGCGCATGGGCCGGCTACACTCGCGGCAACCGCATGCCCACCCGAAATGGCGACTCGGAAGGCAAGGGCATGCCGCCCGCAAACTGCCACGAACCCCGCTTCAAAGGGGTGTGCTTCCGCTGCGGCCAGCCCGGCCATATGGCGAATGCTTGCCCCATGGGAGGGCGAGGCGCTCAAGGCCCCTCACCCGTGGTGTGAGGAGGCACACGGGGCGGCGCCCCTTGCCACTATGTCGGGGGGCGTAGGTGGGAGCACCGGGGGTGCGCAGTTGGTAGCTAGCATGAGCTAGGGGCTGAAGGCCGTAGAAATTCCTAGTCGGAAGGGCGGATATGGGGGTAGTACGTGCTATGTACCCATGTGTGGAGGCAAGTAATAAAAAATATCTTCTTATTGTTACAAAAAAAAAAAAAAAGGAAAGCAAGAAAGCTGAACCAAGGCAGCCACCCTGCAGCATGAACAGCCCTATGACTCAGAAGGAAAGAGTAAGGAGGACGGAGGAGGAAACCGAGATGGGAAAGAAACCAAGAGAGTACGGGGAGAGAGAGAGAGAGAGAGAGAGAGAGAGAGAGAGAGAGAGAGAGAGAGAGAGAGAGAGAGAGAGAGAGAGAGAGAGAGAGAGAGAGAGAGAGAGAGAGAGAGAGAAAGAGAAAGAGGGTGATGGAGTGAGGCCTCACAGACGAGGAGGCTCGTGATTTAAAAAAAAAAAACCAGACCCTCATCGCGGCCAAGAGGCCTTCCTAAGGATGCGCGGCAGCCCATAGGGGATCGTTAGATAAAAAAAAAAAAAAAAAAAAAAAAAAAAAAAAAAAAAAAAAAAAAAAAAAAAAAACAAGGAGACAAGGAAGGTTGAGCAATACCTTATTCATAAGCCCACGGGTCGTCCCCATGACTAAAAGGCTAATCACCTAATACACCCTACCCCGGCTGCCCCCAACGTGCAGTGGCAGACGACAAGTGGCAAGATGCGGAGTGGGACCCGTACGAGAACGCGGTCACGGACGGCACGGTAAAGGTCATGCGCAACCGATTGCGGAACCAACTCCACTGGTGGATATCGTGGTGCGACAACAGTTTCATCATCTCAATCATTGCCAAGGGTTATTGGCTACCTTGGAAGAACACCGAACTGCCACCCTTTGAAACTGCAAACCACGCAGGTGTCCACGCACACACGACGTTCACTCATGAGGCCATTCGCGATTTAATCACATCAGGCGCGGCAATGAAGGTCTCCTCGCGGACCGCGCTCTCGTGCATAAGTCCACTCAACGTGGTGGAACGACGCGACAAATGCCGCCTCATCCTCGACCTAAGCAAGGTCAATCAACAACTTCAAGTTCCCAAATTCAAGTACGAAGGTTTAAATTGGGTCTCAGAGATCATTAGACGCAACGACTGGCTGTTCACCATCGACCTCAAATCGGGTTACCACCACGTCGAGATGCACCCCTCATGCTGGAAGTTCCTAGGCTTCCATTTTGAAGGCGAGTTCTACTGCTTTCGAGCTCTGCCGTTCGGATTGGCAACAACACCTTTCGTCTTCACTCAGCTGATCAAGCAATTGGCCAAACGCTGGCGTGCACGTGGCGTGCGTGTAGTACCATATGTCGACGACATGATATTCCTCTGCGACTCCGCAGAGCAAGCGCGCAAGACATGCACAGAGGTTCTACACGATCTGGGGATGGCAGGTTTTGTGATCAACGAGAAGAAATCGCGCCTCCAGCCGGCCCATCAAACACGGTTTTTGGGGATGGAGCTTAACACGAAGTGCGGCACGTTCAGCATCGGGTCCGAACGGTGGGCCAAGTGTCAGATTTATATGACATAGTTACTATAGGCTATAGTGGGGTAGCACATATGGGGTACAGCTTTCTAGGGTTTGTACTTGTACCCAACTTTCCCTTGGTCATTTTCATTCCTCGTTTCTTCTCATGGTATCGAGCAGGTTCCCTAGTGGGAACGATTCCTACGGCCCACCACCACGATTTTTTTTTTTCCTGTCCGGAGCGCGCTTCGCTCCGGCCCGAGTCGCGCCCCGTGTGCTCTCCCTACCGTCGCGCCCTCGCTAGGCCCCTCACGGCCCCGTCGCGTCGCCCTTAGCGGCCCTCTCACGGCTCCCTAGCGCCGCCCTTACGGCCCGTCGCGCCGCCCCTACGGCCCGTCGCGCCCGTCGCGCCGCCCTTACGGCCCCTCATGCCGCCCTTACGGCCCCCTCGCGGCCCCTCGAGCCGCCTTCCGCGGCCTCCTCACGGCCCGTCGCCGCCCTCGGTGGCCCCTTGTGCCGCCCTTCACAGCCCCTCCGCCGCCCTTCGCGGCCCCTAGCGGCCGGCCGCCGCCGTCTCTGAGACAGCAGCCGCCGCCGTCTCTGCAGCAGCAGTCGCCACAACTCCTGCAACTGCTGCCGCGGCCGTCACCAGCCACACCAGCCGCCGAGCCGCCCAGCAGCCGAGCAACCGAGCCGCCGAGCCGCCCAGCAGCCGAGCCGCCCAGCAGCCGAGCCGCCGAGCCGCCCAGCAGCCGACCGCCGAGCCGCCGTGTCGCCGAGCCGCAGTTGCTGCCGAGCCGCCGAGCCGCCCGAGCCGCCCTGTCCGGTAAGAGCAGCGCCTCTATCACTGCACTGCCCTTACCCTACAGTTTGCGCTGCTAGTCTACTGCTGTCATGGCTACCCCTAGTGTCCTCGTCTTTGACGCTAAGGGTCGGGCCATTGACTTTGACGTCTGGGTAGATGACCTGCAGCTTTTCTTACAGTGCGACGGTCTCTCCCTCTTTGACCTCACCTCTGGTGCCTCCCCTGCCCCTGCTGCTGATGCTGACGCCACTGTTCGCTCACAGTGGGCCACACACGATGCTGCTGCACGTCTTGCTGTGCGTCGCCACCTGCCTACCTCTGAGCGTGCACACTTTAGCCAGTACAAGAGTGCTCAGACCTTGTACGACGCTGTAGTTGCACGCTACTCTTCCCCTGCCACTGCTGCACTGAGCCGCCTCATGCTACCGTACCTCTTCTTTGACCTTGCTGCCTTCCCCACAGTCGCTGACCTCATAACGCACCTCCGCACTAGTGACACTCGCTACCGCGCTGCGCTTCCTGCTGAGTTCTGCGCCAAGAACCCCCCCCCCCAATGTACATCACCCCCTACTACATAGTCACCCGGCTCCCTGACTCTGTTCGCATAGTCAGGGACCACTTCCTCTCAGTTTGCCCCACCACTCTCACTGTTAACCTCCTCGAGAAGGCCCTCTAAGCAGCAGAGAAGAGCATAGACGCTGTAGGAGCCTCTCGTGGTGACCCTCGCACCCCCGTCTTTGAGGGGTGTTCCCCCTCCCCCCTTTTGCCCTCTGTTGCCTCTGCTGCTGCAGCCGACCTCGTTGGCTTCGAGTCGGACGGCGCTCCGTCTGCCCCTAGCGGGAGACGCCGCCCCGGCAAAGGCAAAGAGGGCAAGGGCGCTGGAGGGGGTGGCGGGGGCGGTGGAGGTGGCAGTGGAGGCAGTGGAGGGGGTGGGGGTGGTGGTGGGAGTGGTGGCGGGGAAGGAGGTGTAGGTGGCGGCAGTGGAGGCGGAGGCGGAGGCGGCGGTGGCGGAGGCGGCGGTGGCGGTGGCGGTGGGAGCGAAGGTGGCGGCGGTGGAGGAGGCGGCGGCGGAGGAGGTGGAGCTGGTCGGGGTGGCGCTACGTAGAGGGTCGGCTCCGGTGGTGGTCAGCGCCAGCAGCAGCAGCAGCAGCAACGCATCCGTGACATCCCCCCCCTTCAGCAGCTTCGTGAGTGGTACGCTGCACGCCAGCGGGGTGGGGGTACTGGTCCGTGCACCTACGTCCTACGCACTGGCGACCGCGCGGGTGAGCAATGCGGGGGTGCGCACCCCACCCAGCGCTGCTTTGGCCACCTGACGGACGCTTAGCGCCACCAGTTCCCTGAGGCCATTGAGATCCGTCGCTGGGGCGAGCTGTCTAGGGCGGGCGTAGCTATCTTTGACCTTGACTTTGATGCTATTCTTGCTGCCATGTATGTTGTGACTATTAGTGATGAGGGTGACTGTTACCGGTGTTTTCCGCCCGACCCGGGCATTGAGACTGCTGCTCTAAGTACTGGTGAGGCTGCTGCTCTAGGTGCTAGCGAGGCTGTTTCTCTAGGTGCCAGTGCGTCTGCTTCCTCAGGTGCTGGTGAGTCTGCGCTCTCAGGTACCGCGTCGGCTTCGACCTTTCACACCTTCATTCTTGACTCGGGGGCTTCTCGCTCCTTCTTTTGAGACCGCACCACAGTTACGCCGCTTGGTCGGCCAGTTGCAGTCTCTCTGGCAGACCCCTCCGGGGGTCCTGTCCTTGCTCACTTCTCCACTGTCCTCCCGTGTCCGGCGGCCCCCTCTGGCACCCTGTCTGGTCTTTACCTCCCCTCGTTCTCTACGAACTTAGTGAGTGGTGCAGACCTACAGGATGCAAGGGTTCACCAGTTCACTCCTGCGAGTCAGCGGGTGACCCACTGCACGGACGCTCGGACAGGCCGACACCTAGCCACGTTTACACGTCGGCCGGGGTCCAGCCTGTACACACTGGCCACTGAGTCTCCTTCAGTCGCTGCGTCTGGTCGGGTAGCTGCGTCGGGTCAGGTGTTTCCTGCAGCGTCCAGGTCTGGTCCTGAGTCTGCCCCCTGCTCGTGTCGCCTCCTGTCTCACGAAACACTCCTCTGGCCTTTTGCGAGCCTACTGTCGTGCACGATGCATCCGCCAGACCTTCACGCTTCCGGACTCTCCACAAAAAAATGGGATTGCTGAGCGCCGCATTGGCATGGTCATGGACGTCGCCCGTACGTCCATGATGCATGCGGCTGCCCCCCATTTTCTGTTGTCGTTTGCGGTTCGGTACGCGGCGCATCAGATCAACTTTCAGCCCAGGGTCTCCAGGCCGGAGACCTCCCCAGTTTTGCTGTGGACGGGGAAGGTTGGCGATGCGTCTGCGTTCCGTGTCTGGGGATCTCGGGAGTTTGTCCGCGACTTGTCTGCGCACAAGCTGTCCCCTCGTGCTGCTCCTTGCGTCTTCCTTGGCTTCCCCCCTGACGCGCCAGGGTGGCAGTTCTACCATCCCACCTCTCGCTGAGTTCTGTCCTGGGGGTGCGGAGCCTGAGGGATCTGGGCCTGCTCGTGTCGCGTCTAGCGGTACTGAGCCTGCAGGTTCTCCGGGTGCTTCGTCTCGGTGGGAGCCACTCTCTCCACAGGAGCTGCGTGAGTGGTTTGCCCGGCGCTGGAGGCATGCTGCTGGAGCTGGAGGTTCTTCGGCTGCTGAGGGTGATGGTGCCGCGGGTCCCGGAGGTGCTAGTACTGGGGGTACTGGAGTTGTTGGGCCCACGGGTACGACTGGAGCTGGAGCTGCTGAGGGTGTTGGCGCTGAGGCTACTGCTGTCGGTCCTGGAGGCGGTCCTGCTGCGGGTGCTACTGGTGCTGCTGGAGGTACTGGAGCTGGAGGTGCTGCTGGCGCTGGTGCTGCCGCTGGGGGTACTGGTGTTGTCCCTGCTGTGTCTAGAGTCGCTGCGCGGCCTCGGCCGTACTTTGTTCCGCTCCTTTAACAGGTTCTTGGTCTCCCGCCTTCTACTAGTTCTCCTCCTCCCTTCGAGTGTCCACAGCCAGTCCTGTCACAGTTACAGTTACAGCCGGCCTTCCCACTGCCTGCTCCTTCTCCCTACACTAGTCCTACTGGAGGTCTTGCTGAGCGTCGTGAGCCTGGGTCTCGCCCTGCGTCGCCTGACCGTGCTGCTCGCACTAGTGGTCGTGGTTCGCGTCAGCGTCCTCCTCCTGTCCCTGGTACGCACCGGATGTCTCTGCGTCCGTCCACTGCTCCTCCGCGCGCCCGCTTGCCTTCTCCTCCTAAGTCTTCTCTTCCTGCTCTTGCCGACCCGGAGTCGGACTCTCTTCGCGCTGCGAGTCCTACTGTCACGCGTCTCCTTGCTACTGCTGTCACTGGCCCTTCGTTTAAGTCCACTGCTGCGTCTGCTCTAGTTGCTGAGCTCGTCGACTTTGCTGCTCGCTGTCGCCTAGACTACGCTGCTAGTCTTGTCGCTGAGTCTGAGTCTGTCTGTCCTCCGTCCGTCGGGGGTGAGTGTGCCCTTGGCACGGACGTCCTTGAGGACAGGCAGGAGGGGTTCCAGTGTTTGGTTGCTGCTTCACCTCATCTCGTGTCCGTACTGCTTACCCCTGAGGGAGACCCGGATGCACTTGACATCCCGACTCTGCGCTCTTACGCGGAGGCCATAGAGGGTCCCTACTCCTCTCAGTGGCAGGCAGCTATGGACGCAGAGATGGCTTCCTGGAAGTCCACAGGCACCTACGTTGACGAGGTTCCCCCGCCTGGGGCGAACATCGTCAGTGGCATGTGGATTTTCAAGGTGAAGCGGCCGCCGGGTTCTCCGCCTGTCTTCAAGGCGCGTTACGTGGCTCGTGGCTTCAGTCAGCGGCAGGGAGTTGACTACTTTCAGACCTTCTCTCCCACCCCGAAGATGACCACTCTTCAGGTACTGCTGCACATAGCTGCTCAGCGTGACTACGAGCTGCACTCTCTTGACTTCAGCACTGCTTTCTTGCAGGGCAGCCTGCACGAGGAGATCTGGCTGCGTCGCCCACCTGGCTTCACTGGGTCTTTTCCTCCGGGCACCTAATGGAGCCTCCGGCGGCCAGTCTACGGTCTCCGCCAGGCACCGGGTGAGTGGCACGACACACTGAGGACTACACTTGCGGCTCTTGGGTTTGCTCCCTCTACTGCCGACCCGTCGCTGTTTCTGCGCACCGACACTTCTTTGTCGCCGTTCTACATCCTCGTGTACGTCGACGACTTGGTCCTTGCCACAGCTGACACTGCTGGACTCGCCCACGTGAAGTCCGAGCTGTAGAAGAGACATATGTGCACAGACCTGGGTGAATTGCGCAGCTACCTTCGTTTGCAGATCACCCGGGACAGAGCACGCCGCACCATTACCCTGACTTAGTCACACATAATGCAGCAGGTCCTTCAGCACTTCGGCTTCACGTACTCCTCGCCTCAGGCCCCTCCTCTGCCTACTCGCCACTCGCTCTCAGCTCTGCCTTTGGATGAGTCCGTAGAGTCGAGTGGCCAGTACCCAGAGCTTGTTGGCTGCCTCATGTACCTGATGACCTGCACACGACCTGACCTTGCATACCCTCTTAGCATTCTCGCACGCTATGTTGCTATTGAGAGACACAGACCGGAGCACATGGCTGCAGCGAAGAGGGTGTTGCGCTACTTGTGCAGTACGTCGGGCATGGGGCTTGTGCTTGGAGGGCAGAGTCCAGTGGTCCTCACTGGGCACGCAGACGCTTCTTGGGCTGACGACCAGGCTACGCAACGGTCGTCACAGGGTTACACCTTCAGCCTTGGTTCCGGCTCTGTTTCGTGGCGGGCTACCCGCTCGTCTTCTGTTCTCGGCTCCAGTTGTGAGGCTGAAATCTATGCGGGGGCCATGGCTGCACAGGAGCTTCGCTGACTCACCTACCTGCTGACTGACCTCGGAGAGCCGCCTCGTTCTCCTCCAGTGCTGTACGTAGACAACAAGGCCATGCTGGCCTTGTGTCAAGAGCAGAGACTGGAGCACCGAACGAAGCACATTGCTCTCCGCTACTTCCTTGCTCGTGAGCTACAGCAGCGTGGTCAGCTGCGGCTTGCGTACGTGGCCTCTGAGGCCAACACTGCTGATATCTTGACCAAGGCACTTGCGCCTTGTGATTATCAGCGCTTCTGTACTCAGCTGGGTCTTGTGCCTACCTTGCCTCACTTGGTCACACCTTGACCTTGTTTATACTGTTACACATATATATACGCCTGCTCTTGCTTGTCTAGCTTTATATATATATGTAATCCTGCATGTGAACTGGCCTTGTGGCCTTGAACTTGTGCTCGGAATGTGTGGTGACTTTGTGATCCACCCTGAGCTTGTTTTGCTTTGCTTGACTGGTCTTGTGACCCCTTGTTCTCCCCCACTTTGCCTATGGGGGTGTGTCAAATTTATATGACATAGCTACTGTAGGCTATAGTGGGGTAGCACATATGGGGTACAGCTTTCTAGGGTTTGTACTTGTACCCAACTTTCCCTTAGTCATGTTCATTCCTCGTTTCTTCTCACAAAGTTCCTAGAAACGCTCAACACGCTTATCTGCAAAGGGCAACGCGGCCAACAAGTCCCAATTCGGCAAGTCGCTAGTATCACCGGAATGTTGAGCTCCATGTCCCTAGCATTGGGCACGACGGCAGGCGCCTTCAGCCACGAGTTGCTACATTTGATCGAGGCAGCGGCGTCTTGGCACTCAAGGATCCGGCTGCCACGAGCCGCCATCGAGGAGCTCATTTTTTGGCAACTGCACTTTGACCAATTTAACGGCGCCCCGTTTCACCTAAGCCATCAATTCGATGGCTGTGATCCACGTCGACGCGAGCGCTCACAACTGGGGCGCCATCCTCACAAAGTTTGCTGACGATTCGTACAAGGCAAGCGCCAGTATGCCAAGTGAGCTCCTCCCAACCTCAAGCACTCAAAGGGAGCTCGAGGGAGTCCTATGGGCGCTGCAGACATTTGCGGCCCAAATCACCAATGGCCATGTCTTGGTCCGCGTGGACAACCAAGGAGTCATGTTCATCTTGCGCTAAGGGGGGTCCAGCCAACCCCGGCTGACACTGACATGTCAAGCGGTCATACAATTCTGCCTCAAGAACCACACACGTCTGGCGATCGAATGGATCCCAAGGGAGCTAAATGCCCACGCGAACGAACTGTCCAAAATCCAGGACCATGACGACTACTCTCTGCAGACGCCATGGTTTCTCCTGCTGGAGCGTCGATGGGGTCCCCATACGATCGACCTTTTCGCGAATGCCAGCAACAAGAAGCTGCAACGATTTTGCTCCAAAATACCGCACCCAAGCGCTACCGCAATCGACGCGTTCACGATCTCATGGACAGGCGAGCGCTGCTTCACATTTCCGCCCCCCGGCTTGATCCCGGCCACGCTTTCTCACGCCAGGCGCACAAAAGCCGTGTTGACACCTGTTGTCCCTGAGTGGCCGGGAGCAGCATGGTGGCCGCTGCTGCAACCCTCCCCACAAACATGGGCCCCAGAAGTGATCGCATGCTTGCGTCTGGCTCAAGGAAGCCAATGCCTTCGTCCTGGCTCGCACGCTACAGCATTCTCCGGACTCGGCTTGCCACATAGCCCAATCATTGCCTTGCGTGTAAAATACAACATGTAACTGA